CCGATCCGAAGGTGTAAACTCGTGAATCTGGTAGGGCCGATCCGAAGGTGTAAATGCAAAGATCGGGCAGGACCGATCTGAAGGTGTAATTTTGAATCGAGTAGGGTCGATTTGAAGGTGCCAGTACGTGGATCGAGCAGGGCCGATCTAATGGCGTTATCGTGAATCGAGCAGGGTCGATTCGAGGGTGCCAGTACGTAGATCGGGCAGGGCCGATATGAAGGTGTCATCGTGAATCGAGTAAGGTCGATTCGAAGGTGTAAGTACGTGGATCGGGCAAGGCCGATCTAAAGGTATCATCGTGAATCGAGCAAGGTCGATTCGAAGGTGTAAGTACATGGATCGGGTAGGGCTGATCTGAAGGTGTTATTGTGAATCGAGCAGGGTCAATTCGAAGGTGTGAAATCGCGGATCGGACAGGGCCGATTTGAAGTTGTAAATAATAATCGATCGACCGGATTCGACTTGGAGATGTAAGATTTCTGAATATTACTTTATTAATATTTGGCCATGAGGCCGACTGTCTAAGAGGAGGTTGATAGGCCCACTCATCCCTTTAAAAATAAACAAGAAAAAAAATAGAAAAAAGATGAAGTTCACCCAGAAGTGGTAGCGCTTGAGGTCAACGGCATTCCAACTATTACTGATGTCTTTGCCCTCGGGGGTCTGGAGTTTGTAGGCGCCCTTCCCTGCTTCTTTAGTTACCTTGTACGGGCCTTCCTAAGTGGGACTGAGTTTGCCAGAGTTGACCTCCTTGGTGTTTTGAAAGACCTTGCGGAGGACCCAATTGCCTATCTTGAAAGTCCGGATCCTCACGTTGCGGTTGTAATGTCAGGCGGCCTGTTGCTGATAGACTGCGTTATGGATGCTCGCCCGTTCGCGTAGCTTATCGATGGTGTCCAGGTTCTGGCAAAGATTCTGGTAATTTGATTCCTCGTCCGCCCATTAGAGCCTGTGGACGGGACTGACACTTCGACTGGGATTACTGCTTTCGAATCGTATGTGAGGGAGAAAGGGGTCTCGCTCATTGACGATGAGCTGTGGTTCGATATGACCAGAGGACTCCAGGTAGCTCATCTGCCCATGCACCCTTGGCTTTTTGTAACTGCTTCTTAGTGTCTGAATGATGGTCTTGTTTGACGACTCGGCCTAGCCGTTAGAGTGGGGGTTGCGGGGGGTTGAGAAGCTCAATTTTATTCCCCACATGTCACAAAAATCCCTAAAGCCTAAACTAATGAATTGGGATCCATTGTCGGTGATGATTTCCTTCGGTATGCCGAACCTGCAGATGACATTCTTCCAAATGAAGGCTTTTACCTCTCGGTCTCTGACTTGTGCGAAGGCTTCGGCTTCAATCCACTTAGTAAAGTAGTCTGTCACAGCTAACATGAAGATTCGCTGTCCGAGTGCAGTCGGTAGTTTTCCCACGTTGTTCATTCCCTACTTCATAAAGGGTCAGGGTCTGAGGATGGAACGGAGTCGCTCTGGTGAGAAGTGTGAGACATGAGCAAACCTTTGACAACTGTCGCACTTCTTCATATAAGCGGCCGAATCGACGCGTGTGGTCGGCCAATAATATCCAGTAGTGATCACTCGGTGTGCAAGGTTGTGTCCCCTAGCATGGTTTCCACATTCGTCTACATGTAATTCAGCAAGGACATGTTGGGCCTCCTCTAGGCTTGTGCACTTGAGGTAGGGGCCCGAGAATGATTTTCTAAGGAGTTGGCCCTCATGTATGGTGAATCTGGCGGCTCTTGCTTTTAGTCGTCGTGCCTCTTTCTTGTCAGCAAGGAGTTCGTCATGCTCCAAGTATTTCACTATCGGAGTCATCCAACAGTCGGCTAGTTCAACTCCCATGGCTTCCTCAGGCAGCTTGTTTGGTTGTCCCTCCCAGTTGGCAGGCCACTGCATGAATAATAGAGGGATGGACGAGGGGGAAGAGCATTTGAGGGCTGAGCCGAGATTGGCAAGAGCATCAGCGTGGGAGTTCTCCGCTCTGGGGACTTGGACGATGGAAAACTCATTGAATTGTGCCTGCAGTTGATTGACCATGCTCAAGTAAGATGTCATCTTCGAGTCGCATGCTTGATACGTGCCTTGTAGTTGATTGACCACGAGCTAGGAGTCAGACTTCACTTCTAGTTTCTTTGCTCCAATTTCTTTGGATAAGGAAAGTCCAGCTATGAGGGCCTCATATTCGGCTTCGTTGTTTGTGCACTTGAACCCACACCGTATTGCCCGCTGGATGATGTCTCCTTCTGGTATAACCAGTACCACTCTAAGTCCGCTTCCATTTACGTTACTCGAGCAGTCCACTAAGAGGGTCCACTTGGATGGTGATCCGCCGTTAATGCATAATAACTCACTTTCTGCTTAGATGGTGGTATTCGGGGTGAAATCAGCAATGAAGTCGGCCAAGGCCTGGGATTTGACGGCGGTGCGAGGTTGGTATGATATGTCGAACTCACTAAACTCTACTGTCCACTGCATGAGTCGGCCTGATAGTTCCGGTTTGTGCAGCATCTTCTTCAGTGGGAAGGAGGTGAGTATGACTATTGAGTGGCACTGAAAGTACGGCCTGAGCTTTCTGGATGCATGGATGAGTCGACCTGATAGTTCCAGTTTGTGCAGCATCTTCTTGAGTGGGAAGGAGGTGAGTACGACTATTGAGTGGCACTGAAAGTACGACCATCTCCCTCTTCCTGGATGCTGACTGTATCGCGTTTCCATGTCAAAGAGTGACTTACTTACATAGTAGACCGGCAACTGCTTCGTTTCTTCTTCCCGAACTAGTACTGCTGAGATAGCTATCTCTAAGACCGCTAGGTAAGAGTAGAGCTTCTCCTCATCCACAGGTTTGGAAAGGAGCGGAGGAGATGTTAAGTACCTTTTCAGCTGTTGCAAGGCTTCTTCGCAGAAGACGATCCACTCGAAAACTTCTTGGACTTCTTGAGGGCATGGAAGAAGAGATGGCACTTGTCGGTTGACCTGGAGATGAAGCGACTTAAGGTGGCTACACGTCCTGCGAAGCGTTGGACGTCTTTCACACAAGTTGGAGACAGTATACCAAGAATTGCTCTGATTTGATCAGGATTGGCTTCTATCCCTCGTTGAGTCACCATGTAGCCCAAGAACTTTCCTGAAGAGACCCCAAATGAGCACTTGGCTGGATTTAGCTTCATGTTGTACTTCCTGAGGATGGCAAATGTCTGGCTGAGGTGGTGGAGGTGTTGTTCGACCATTAGTGACTTGACGAGCATGTCGTCGATGTATACCTCCATGGTGTCTCCTAGGTATTCAGCGAACATCTTTGACCAGCCGCTGGTACGTGGCTCAGGCGTTCTTCAAGCCGAATGGCATCACCTTATAGCAATGGGTTCCCCTTTTCGTGATGAAGGCTATCTTCTCTTGGTCGTCTGGGTGCATCAAGATCTGGTTGTACCCTGAGAAAGCATCCATGAAACTAAGGAGCTCGTGACCTGCGGTTATATCGACCATCATGTCAATATGTGGGAGCGGGAAGGAATCCTTGGGGCAGGCTTTGTTTAAGTCTGTGAAGTCGATACATACTCTCCATTTCTCGTTCTTTTTCTTTACGACCATGACATTCGCCAGCCATTTGGGATAGTGGACTTCTTTGATCATGCCACTGCTCAAGAGCTTCTCGACCTCTTCGTTGACAATTCGGTTACGCTCTGGTGCGAATTTCCTTCTCTTCTGTTTCACTGGTGGGTGATTTGGGTCTACCTTGAGCTGGTGGACCATTGCTTCCAAGTTGATTTCGGTCATGTCAGTGTGGGACTAAGCGAAACAGTCTTGGTTTTGTTTAAGGAATTCTATCAGCTTCTCTCTTGTCTCGGGCTTGAGGCAGGACCCTATGTGTGTCTTTCTCTCGGGATCGTCCGGATGTATCTGTACGTCATCCAACTCTTCCATAGATGGTTGATCCGGATCGATCGGTGGGGTTGGATGAGACTGTAATTGCTATAAAGAGTTACCCTTGCCTTTGAAGGCGTTATTGTAGCAATCCCTGGAAGTTTTGGGGTTACCCTTGATCTCTCGTACCCCCCACTTGGTAGGAAATCTGATCGTCTGGTGGAAAGTAGATGGGATTGCCCGCATGTCGTGGATCCAAGGTCGGCCCAAGATGATGTTGTATGGCGATGGGCAGTCGATTACCAGAAAAATGGTTTATTTGTTAACTCTGTCGGTGTAGATAGGGAGGATGATCTCCCCAACAGTATACTTTTGCTCAGAGCTGAAACCAACTAGCAGCGTCGGCCACCTATTGATGTTTGCCTCTTCCAATCCCATAGCCTTCACTGTTTCAAGAAATAGGATGTTTGCTAAAGAGCCTCCATCTACGAATACTCTTTTTACTAGGATGTTGTTGACCTGTAGGGAGATGACTAGGGCATCATGATGAGGAGCGGCTAAGGTGACCAGCTCGTCATCTTCTAACTGAATTACCTAATGAGTGTGTGACCGAGAGATCGGATGGATGGACTGGACTTCATGGTGGTGGTTGGCTCGGTGTATCGCTTGGTTGATGAGTAAATTACTCCACTGATCTCTGATCCTCTGGAGATGAGCGAACAGAAACCTTTTGGTGTAGGTTCTCGCGAAGGTGGTGATGGTTCTTTTGAGTTCTTATGGCTGATGGTGTTCTTCCCCTTGTCGGTTAGCAAATCCCGGAGATGTCCCCTCTTTAGAAGTGCGGCGACCTTTAGCCGTAAGGCGATGCAGTCTGCGGTGTTGTGCCTATGATCGCCGTGAAACTCGCACCATTTGGTCTTGTCTTTCCTTGCCTCGGGATTGAGCTTGCCTGGGCACTTAACAGTGGATCCCATTCCTTTCATAATAGCGACGACCTAGGTTGGCTCGACATTGAGGCTGTATTCTGGTATCTTGTACCGGTTCAATCCGAATTGCCTGCTCTCAGTTCTTGTCGGTTGACGATCATACGGTTTCCTTGCTTTGTTCGAATTGTGTGCTGGGGGTTAGTAGCGGTGCTCCGCTGGCTTGTGTTCTGGCTTCTTATCATTCCGCCTTGAATCGTATCTGGAGTGAATCGGTTGGTTTATTTCATCCTCCTCCCACCTTATTTGGATCACTGCCCGAGGCAGGGCGTCTTCCATTGTGATGCAACCCAGCTTTGTAAATTCTTTGTATAGCTCTCCATCCGAGAAGAGACCCTTCCTAAAGGCATCTACGGCTGTCTCAAGGTTACATGCAGGGATACAGATCTTCTCTTTGTTAAACCTACTGACATACTCTCTCAGTGGCTCTCCCCTTCTTTGGTATACTCTGTATAGGTCAGCTGACAGCTTCTCAAGTTTCTCACTGCTGGCGAACTGTTCAACAAATGTGTCGGTGAGTTGAGCGAATGAATTGATGGATCCGTTTGGGAGGTTCGTGTACCATTGGAGTGTTGGGCCGAATAAACTTGAACCGAAACTTTTGCACATGCAGGCTTCCCTAAGCGATCGGGGTATTGAGACGGTGAACATCCGCTGCTTGTACGAGGCTATGTGATCATCCGGATCGGTTGTGCCATCGTATAGTTTCATGTTGGGGATAGTAAACTTCTGAGGCATGTCGACTAGGGCGATCTCATCCACGAAGGGTGAATCAGCGTAACAATGGGACCTGCTCTTCTTGGTTGGGATCGGCATTCCTTGAATGCGTCGCATCACTACTTCCACATCGGCCAATCTCTTGGCTAGTACTTGTTCCATAGGAGAAGGGGACGCCACTAAGTCATCCCGCATGATCGAGTTAGCCTTTGCAATTGTCTTTGGTACATTCCGTTGGGTCATCCCTCGTGAGGTGGTCTGACGACTTGTTTCTTCGTGCGTTCCCTGGTAGCATAGATCTTCGGTGGTTCCTTCTGGTTGGATGACTCCCATGTAACTATTTTGGTGTTTCGCCCTACATGGATAGTTAGGGGAGTCCTCTGATAGTCATTCAGTTGGTCAGGATAGATGGGCTCGGGTGCTGTTTGTTTAGTTTGGTCATTCACCCCGTGAGGATGAGCTGAGCCGAGTGGATGTAAGGTGGGATGGTTAGATTGGGCTGGTCTTGTGGATGAGGGCTTTCTCCCACCGGGTCGTCTTGATCTTAATACTGGGATAAATCGGCTGAATGATGTTCCACAAGCATATCTTTATCTCCATGGATTAGGACAGAATCGTCGACTACAGACGGGTGTAGTAGACGCGGCCTTTTGTCGGAGACCGAGGGTTGGTGCTCTGGCGTAAGGAGAGGTTGCATGGACGGAACAAAGGTGTGGAACCGATTGGGGGGTGCCTGGCCAGGCAGGAACTCGAGATCGTAGAATTGACTAACCTTCTCCTTGAGAGACTAGTTTTCTGACCTGATGGACGTGTTTTCTGTCCGGGTTGCATTGTTCTCGGCTTCCAATGTGGCTATCTTGCCCAAGTTCTACTGGATGAGAGTGGTTAGAGCTTCCAGTTTGGCCTCGAGGCCGGGGTTAGTGTTGTCAGAGTTGTCAGGCATGGACAGTTCCTCTACGTAGCAGGGTTCGTCGAGCCGAATGATTACTAGAGGCCCCACGGTGGGCGCCAAACTGTAGACGTAAAAATCTACCTGCGCGAAAGGGGGGTCTGATCCCGTGAGGTTGAGGCCACTAGCGATCCACTGCACCTGCACACGTAGAAAAACAAACGCGTGAAGCAAACGAGAAACATCGGGGTGGTGTTTGCCATAGGCACTCCGACGCTCAAGTCAACAAGGCTGAAAGAGGCTAGTATAGTGAAGGCTAGGGAGTAAAGAGGTTACCGGAAGTCTAGTCGGAGACTGTGACTACGGCAGTGATGTAAAGCTCTCAAGTAAGAGCTTCGGATGTGAAGGTGTAATGTAGTCTCCTTTGTGAGAAGACTGGCCTCTGTTTATATAGTGACTGTCTGGTCTCCCAATCCTGGTGGGAGTAGGAGTCCTAATGTGACTCTGATGCAGACCCTAGAAGAATTAGAGCCGTGGTATGCTATTTTACCAGTGTCCGGATAGGAAGGTGATTCTGATCAGGAAAGTAACTTTGAATAGGAAAGTGTTTTAAACAGGAAAATGACTTCAAGTAGGAGACTGATCAGGAACTGGAATGTGATCAGTGGGCCGAGGGCTCGAAACTCGCCTATAGGCCCATGAAGTGAACTGGAACTGGGAGGCCCGTGCCCAGATGGTTTGGGTCGGCCGTATCTCGTATCAAATGGGACTAATCTGGCTTGGGCCTCTTTGGGATTTAGGCCTAGTCTCTTCTTCACCAATGGTCCTGCTTTCTTATTTGGGCCGAGGACGATTTTTGACCCTAACATAAGACATTGGCATATTTGTCTTCATGGACATTGTTTACTCTAGGAGTTGGGGTTCTTGCCGCAGAGAATAAGGAAGTATTATCAGTTGAAGTTTGGCTCGATGGTGGACTATTATGAACATCATTGCCACAAAGAGAGTTTGTCGATCGTCAACCTGAGCACTGCCAGCATGGGGAGTTTGATTAAGAAAATTAGTCATTTTTAGACCATAAAACAATGAACCTACCAAATTAAAGATGAATGAGAGAACCCTAGCGTGACTGTGTTCGCAATCGACTTAAAAATCAAAATATTATCAGAACTAGATTGACATAGATATAATAAACTATTATAGCACAATTATAGCACAAAATATTGAAAACTAATAACATACAACATATAAAATCATATGTGTTGTAATTATGAGAAACAATAATTATAGAAAACAGTAAACGAAATATGGAAAACTAATACCTTTTTTAAACCCAAATAAGCCTTTCTGAATTTTTTATATAATATCTTTGTACAAAATCCCAAAATTTTTCATAGATGACTTCATACACAATTAAAAAAAAAAAAAAAAAATCAGAAAACAGTTCTTACAGTAAAAAAAGGTATTTATACACAATCCCAAAAATATCATAAAACTGTTATTATTGCGTACCATGAAATTGCTGGTGCACTTAGAATTAAAACCCCGAGACTGTTAGTAGATAGAATGAAGTATTAGTAGTTGAAGTTTGGCTTGGTGGTGGACTATCATGAACGTCACTACCACCAGAGGGAGTTTGTGGTCATCAACTTGACCACTGCCACCAGGTTGAGTTTGATTCAGAAATTTAGTCATTATAGATCATAAAACAATGAACCTACCAAATCAAAAATGAATGAGAGAACCCTAGTGTGACTGCGTATGCAATTGACTTAAAATTCAAAATATTATTAGAATTAAGTTGACTTAGATATAATATACTATTATAGCACGAAATATGGAAAACTAATAACTAACAATAACCTGCGTCGGGCACAGGCAATATGCGGGCCGGGCTAGGCCCACCAACAAGTGTTGGTCGGGTTGACCCGACAAAAAAAGAAAAAAGAAAATTAAGGAACTTGACTGGGCCCGATGAGTTTAAAATAAAAATTATAATAAACCCTTTCGGGCCTGCCTAGGCATACCCGACCAACCCGCACGGTTGGGGATAGCCAGGCTGAGCCCGGGTTTAGTCGGGCCAGGTTTGGGCCGACCCGCCTAACCCATCCCATTTTTTCCATATCTAGATATGATTTTCCCATTTGACTTTACAACCCCATTCTACTATTGTGGTGATATCATCCAATAAAACAAAATGAATTATTATTAGTTTTCAAAACCATCTATCAAGGAAGTGATTATTGATGAATAATCAATGTTGGTTATTGATTAATCATGGCGACAATTGGATGAATGAGAATAGTGAGCATTTATATGGTAACACACCACATCACCAAAGTCCGATAGTGAGACCATCTCAAATAAGTTTTTTCAAATGAGATAGTTGTCAAAAACTGTATTTAAATTCTATATTAAACTGAAGAAATTTAGTAGGCTTAAATAACATCGCTCATGAGGAAAACGCATATTAGTTTAATGTGCAAGGTTAGTAATTTCTAGGATTAAGTCTCGGCCTTATTGAGATAACCATCACCTCCAACTCACCTAACCTCATATTTTTTTTGTATCTCAAATTTCTTAGAAAATAATGTGTTAGCTTAGGTGAAATTTTCATATCATGTATCAAATTGTATTTTGTAACTTATAAAATATGAGCTAATTGTTTAAAATTATCGTATTGTCATTGAGTAGAAAATAAAATTTTTGAGTATATAGTATGATATATCTATTTAGAATATGTAATTTTTCCTATTAACATAAACTCTCTCGTACTAATTTAAAGATCGATTTCGTATGACTTATGTGAATAGAGATTATAATTTTCAATTTTAAATAGTATACTTAATTTTTTTTTTTTTAAACATATTTTCAGATATTTAAAGTAATGGAATATATTAAGATTTTTTTTTCAAAATATATTTAGATGATTAATCCTTCTTAAAAAAAATAGAAATGCAAAGTAGGAGGGTAAAGTCGTCAATTCCCGATAAAATTGGATGCGCGGCGGTATCAGTTAAAATCTAAGGCTGAGAATGTGATGCTCCAGTGGCCATATCTCGCCTTTCTCTCACTGTAAAGCCAGCAAAGCGACGCCGTCGTTTCAGTTGCGTTTAGTCGAAGCCAAACACGGAGACAGAGAAGGCACAAGAATATGAGTTCAGTCAAAGTAGTAATCTTCGACGAATCCGTGCTGCTACTCTCCGCTGCTCAAAATGCAAACGACTCGGCGTTTCGGCTGCGATCGGGAGCCTACTCTTTGCTTCGTAAGCTCCGTCAATCGAAAATCCGTACGGTACCATTTCATCTGATATCATCTCTTTCGCTCTCTCTTTGTTTTGAATTTGTTGTTAGAAATGAGTTGAATTTTGACATTTACGTTTCGCATTGTTTTTCGTAGGGAGTTTCGTATGGTCTCGGCCTTTCGTCTGATAAGGTAATTCTTGCTTTTATATTTTTTCCATATGCTTTAGAGTAGGTAATAAGAGTTCTCTATTATGTTAATTTTATAGTGTGTGCGTGTTTGGATGAAATGGAAGAAGTGTTTGCCTTCCTCGAAAATTTTCTGGGAGTTTGTATTCAAGGAGATTTGATAGGAGAATCTTTAAAAGAAAAAAGCACTTTCTGCATAAGAGCAGCACCTATAAGTGCTTTTTTGGAAAGCACTTGGAGGTTATTTCTAGACAAGTTCTCTGTTCTCTCAATCGCATGCATATTTTAGCGCTTTTGACGTAATGGAAAATGCATGTAGCATATTCTTCTCTAAAAAGTGATTTTTAAGTAAACTGAAGTATTAAAAGTGTTGATCAAATATATTCTTTTCAAAAGAGGGATTTTAAGTGATTTTATCAAAGGAGCTCTCTACAATGGCACATTCAAATTGTTGTTGTATAGCTTATCTTGTTTAGAAGAGTGTCTGATATGCTTATATTTCGGACATTGGTGTTATTTTTTGTGTTGACTGTAGCTATTGATCTCGTTCTTATAGCTAAGAATTTAGTGAAGGCATGGAAGTTTATCCTTAATAATGCATTGACTGCTGCATTTAGTTTGAATTGTCTTGCGTGGCCGCTTAAATCACAGCTAAAGATGTTTGTAGTTATTTGATACTGAATACATTTTTCACTTCAGATATTAATTTTTTCTTGTATAACCAACTGCAATTTTTTAGAAATACTTACTATATATGTATTGGTTGCATCTGCTTGATATAGGTGATTGCATTGAAGAGGATTGCTACGGAATACTTGTGTGATTGCTTTCTTTTGGATGCATCTATAGATTGTGTTGTAAATGAGATAAATGAAGCGTGGGGTGACAATGGAGGAAGTATTTTGTATGTTGTTTCTGAAAATAAGGATGCTGTTCATAAACTTAGTTCCCATTGGCTGATTATTGTTTTGGGTGAGTACTGCTGAACCTATAGATCTCCCGTGACAGCGGGATAATGTGAGTCTTGTTGAAAGTATTTGATAATCTACTAGTGTCTTGCGTATAACAGAGGACGCCTTGCTGTATAATGGTTGCTTCTGAAAGATATGAGTCTTGTAGAAAGTATTTGATTGGAGAGATTAAGGCTAGGTTATATTTGATGGCGTCTTCTGTCTACATAAAATGCATATGAATCTATTGTCTAAAATTCATTATGTACCAACTTATTGTTGCATTAGTACTAGTTGGTGGAATAATATGCTGAAGTAAGTTGCTTCAAATCTTTGGGACTTAATACCGTGTTCTACATCTAGATTATGCTCATTAGTTACAGAAAATGCTTGATAAGTTTGCTTGTTTTTGCTACTGAATTTGGTAAATTGGTTTTTTAAACTGGATTCTGCTTCTCTCTCAGGTGTCAAAAGTGAAAGTGTGTCTGATAATTTGAGCATTCTTTATATTAACAAGCTAGAAGAGTTGCCTATGACCATTTGCAAGTTGAACAAAAAGGTTGCCTAAAGTGATTCGCCCTTTCAATGTTCTTGTTCATGATTACCATTTGTTCTTTACTTTATTTTTGGGTTCAAAAGCTATATGCTAGGAATACAATCTGAAAAACTGAAAACTGTTAAGGAGTAGTCATTTCAAGGGAAAATTGTGGGAAGGTGTGAGTAATAACCTGTAGATCTTACATATACAAGATACAAAGTAACATAAGTGATTTCTTTGAGATAAAAGAGTCAAATGCAAGGATAGACTCTGAAATTTCAGTACTTTAAATGTACTACTTCATATTTACCTTATGGTGTTCATTCCATGACTCGTTTCATGTCTCACATTTGAAGTAGGCAGCTGGCAAAAATGCTGTGATAGTTGGTTATGTCATGAAGCCTGCACGTGAAGAAGATTTTGCCAAGGTGAGCCCTTTTTATAGAAGTGAGAGTATGCCATGTTAGAAAGGAGTTAAAGGAAGCTAAAGAAGTAATAAAAATGGATGGTCTTGTACAACCATGAGTTGCGTAAAATCAGTATGTAACTGTTGATACTCTTCAATTGAATGTTCTACATTGAATTGAAAAGTGACTCATTCTGGTTCCTAAATCCGAAAATTAGATGTGGCTAACGGAACAACGAAGAACAATTCAACTAAATTTGAGAGAGTTTTTTGTGTAGGAAAAGATTTAGTCATATGCAGGGATCTTAATTGGTCTGAAATGTTATTCTTCAGGTGAATAGAATGATTTAATTGATTATTTTGGCCCAAGCAACTATTTAGGTTTGCCTAACAGTAGTTGGTTATAGGCTTAAATTTCTATCTTACCAATGATGAGATTGTGGGAAATTTCTGTTGTTTTATTCTTTACTCATCCAAAGAAAACACTATATTTGAAGCTTATTTTGGTCCCATCTTTCGTAGAGGGGTGCATTTCCTATGAATCCTACTCCAAATGGCTTGATATTTGTGCCTCTGACATTTGATACTCCTCTATCATCTCAATTACAAGTAGTTGATGTGGTTCTCCATAAAGCAACAGATGAAATCATGTCCGTCGAATTGGGAAGCAATTCAGAATCTTCCAACAGAGTCACATACACCTCAGGCATGCAGGAGCTGCAAAGGTAACTTCTAAATGGAATTACATATACCATGTATCTCTTATGAGCTCCATTAGATGTTTGGATAGAATTTGCTTTTCTATTGTTGTTTCTTTGTACAGTTGACATTTGTTTACAAACTTCATATAACATGTCAAGTAAAATGTTTTCAGTATTTGTAAATTTTCAGATTAATGCTAGAGTTAGATCTTTCCTAATTAGTATTACCACTCTTACAGGTTTTTGGAGCATCACTCTAATTTCTTTGCAATTGACCCCCTTGATAATATATACCCAGTATTGGATCGGCTGAAAATCCAGCTGGTTCTGCTTGGACTGCAAGATATCAATGCAGAAGGCTGCCTTACAATCAGGGGGGCCCATTTTCTTAAGGTCATCTTTTTTTCTACAATAGCATCTTTTTTCTACTTGTTGCCGATCTTATGAAGCACTAGTACTAATCCAAATAATTATCTTGCTGATGTTTTATATCTAAGGGTCCGTTTGGTACATTATTTTGACACTTTTTAGAATAGTATTTGGGAAAAAGTGAGTTGAGTAGTATTTAATAGAATAGGATTGGAATTTGAAAATATGTTTGGTAAATTTTTGGAATACATTTGCTGAAAATATTTAGATTAGTTTTTAACCCCTTACATTTGTTAATTTAGCTAAATACTCCCTTACAATAAAGTTTATAAATTAACAAAAACACTCCCACCACCCAATAATTGCTGGCAACCGGCCACCACCGTCGGAGGATGGTCGGAAGTCGTCGGAATGGCGCACGACAGCTAGATCTGGCCAGTCGTGTGCTAATCTAACCTTTTCTGGTCAGATCTACGGTTAAAGATCTGGCCGTTGATGAAGGCCATATCTTGGCCGCCGTTTGGCCATCAACTGCCAGATCTTTGGCCAGAAAAGGCCAGATCGGCACACGACTGACCAAATTCGGCCGGTCGTGCATTGTTGCGATGGCTATTGGCAGGTGATAGTGGCTTGGGTGGGTGAGGGTGCTTTTGTTAATTTTAAAACTTTTATTGGGATAGGTAATTGTTAATGTTTTGAATTGAGTAAAATAAGATTGAATTTTGAGAATATTAAAACAAATGCTTTTTTGGGTTTTTAGGATAGGATAGTGGGAAAATAGTGTGTCAAACGGAGCCTAAAATTTTTTCTTTTCCAATTGACAACAATTAGATAAAATTATGTTTTATACAAGATTTATACCACTATGTAAACCTTATTCTAACAGAAATTTAGATTGATGGATATTGCTATCTTTATCCCTAAATATACATGGGTCAAATGAAACAAATCTTAATCACTGTACCATTCTTATTGACCGCATTAGCTTAAATGAGGAGTCTTTATTTTTTTTCTTTAGTTCCGATAAAGACTGGGCTGCTTTGCATCTTATTATGGGTGATAAAATCTGTGGTCTATAGTGGGGCTAACTGATGCTATAACACTGGAGACTATGATGATCTTTGTCGAAAACTGGTATTTATTTGCATGGATTTTGTGACAAGGTTACCATAAAAGATAGTGAAAGTTATAACAAACAGAAAAGGAGATGTAATATAAGAAGGATAACTTTGATAGTTGTTATTTTCTTTCTTTCTAGTGTATAGTGCCATAAATACTCAGACTTTGTAATCGCAACTTTATAACTCATGGCTTCGTTTAGGCATAAATTCTCTAGTTTTGATTAATATCTCCTCAGAGCTAGTTACATCTAAAGCTTCAATACGCAGGTCAATGATTTTAATGAATCTGATTTGGCACAAAGACTACCAGAAGCTAAATTATCTTTTCCATGTATAGTGAAACCTCAAGTTGCCTGTGGTGTGGCTGATGCTCATAGTATGGTAAATATACATTTATTTTCATTCTTGCCTTTCCCCTTCTTGAATTTATTTTAGTGTTATTGACTTGTATTTTCATCAATGCGCAATAGTACACTTGTTGATTCTTGGTCTGCCAACCGTCATTCCATAAAGAATCTACTATAAAGCTAATTTTTTCAAGTAGGTAAATTACTGTATTGCCCTTTTTCTTGTGCTAGCGTCCTAGGCAATTGACAAGGTCTATCAAATTGGTCTCAACTATGCATTCTTATAATAATCGTTCACTTGGAAGTTTTCTTGGTTAAATATGCACAACTATTAAGGGTTCTTTTTCCATTTACCTTGTCTTTTCACTTTCTTTTTTCTACTTTAAAAAGGTTGAATCTTGGAATTGCAGGCAATTGTCTTTGAAATAGAAGATTTTAAGCATTTGAGTGTTCCTCTTCCTGCTGTTGTTCAGGTGAGCATGAAGTTGATGATGTTTCTGTAGTTATATATTTCTTCATCATGGCAACGTAATTGTTATTGTTGTTCAGGTGAGCTTACAATTGCTTTCATTAGATGACTTCTAAATAGATTCAATTTTTATGTTTCTCATCTTCTTAAAAAAATGGGTATGGTTGAAACTTTCATCTTTTTCACTTTTTGAGTTCTAAAATTATGGCTCCAGAAGACCAAACACAAATTTAACATGCATACAGAAATATGTGACTGGGTCCAAATGTAGTTTGTCATACGTGTCAAAAAATGTTTCGATGCTTTTTATATTTTAATTTCTTAAGAGTATTGTATTGTTTATTCATATTTTTTACTGCTTCATTTTAAAACTGATATTGTATGTTGATATTGCAGGAATATATAAACCACTCATCCACCCTGTTCAAGTTTTATGTCTTGGGTGATACTGTTTTCCACGCAGTTAAGAAGTCAATACCAAATTCCAATACTTTGAGGAAATCATATGCAAGAAACGGCTCAAAACCTATATTGTTTGATAGGTAGTAATCAATGTGTTCTCCCTTTGCCGCCGTCTTTTGATCTTCAATTTCTTGCCTTTTCCATCTTCTCTTGGTTTGTACTTTCTTGAATTACGGTTGAGATCATTCATTGAAACTAATAATATGGCATTATCTCTCCACAGCTTAAAGTCTCTACCTACTGACACTGAAAGTCAGCATCCAGGAGATGCAGTTTCCTGTAAGGTCGATCTCGATCTCGAGCTTGTCATAGATGCTGCAAAATGGCTTGCAAGAACACTTGATCTTACAATATTTGGCTTTGATGTTGTTGTAAGTATGCAATTTTACTAATTTTCTCTCTTTAATAAATAATTTATAATGTTTGTATTATTTGCAGAAACACATATATTAATAAATGTCAAAAAAAAAAAAAAAAGAAGTTAGAAAAGAAAGAATATATATATAAATGCCGAGATCTGTCATGAAAGAGTATCAATTTAACCGGCTGACTGCAAACAGAGCTATGCTTAAACCCATACGATATTTTCCTTTTTCGCAAGACCTCTTTTATTCATGGTCTTAGATATGCCATCTTTGGTCGAGGCGAAAGAATCTAGCACTCATAATGCAACATCTACCATAACATTTTCGATGACCTCTCAGGCTCTCGATTTACAAACGTATTGCCATTTTCCTTCTAATATTCTTGTCTGTTCTGTTAAACTTTTCAGGTTCAAGAAGGCACTCGTGACCACGTCATCGTGGATGTAAACTACCTCCCATCATTCAAAGAAGTACACAATGATATCGCCATACCGGCCTTCTGGGACGCCATCAAAATGAAGTATGAATCTAAGAAGATGAAAGCAGCAACTCCAGCTTCCTCATCTTGAGCCTTCTTGGCAATACGATGGTCAGTGTAGCTAATGTAAAATTTCTTGCAAAGTACCCCAATGTGCCGTAAAAGCTCTGAATCTTTTAGTTCTGAATAATAATTTTTTTATCAGCCGAGGGTATGTATCTATCTATTTATTCTAGCTTTGCAAATACTTCTCAAGACATTGTTGTTCGTTTTTAATGTGTTGATGCAAATGGGTGTTCAAAAGAACCGGTTGGAACCGAAATTGGCGGGTACCCTGGGTTTGGTTCCGGTTCCTACCTTGAACCGATCGTCAATGGGTAGGTTCTGGTTTCAAATTTTTGGAACCGTTACTGTGCAGTTCCGGTTTCGGTTCTTATAGTTAGGAACCGGAACCGAAACCAGGAATCAGAAACCGAGACTAATATAAAATAAAATTAAAAATTAGGGGGGTTAATAAAAGCTTTTGTAGAAAAAATAATGTGATTACATTTATATTTATATTTCATAATATTTAAAGTAAGTTAGTTTGACTTTTGAGAATCTACCTTTACAAAGTAATGGAGTTTGTAATTTATAATTTGTAATTTTATTTTTGTTAACAAATGTCAGGTTTTAAGGGTTTTTTTGTCATTTTAAAAACTTTTGGGGGTCCTTGTAATTTTATAGGGTACCCAGAACTGAAACCGGAACCGGAACCGTTGTTGCAGGTTCTGGTTCTGGGTACCTAGGAATCGGAACCGTCGGTTCTGGTTTTAGTTCCAAATTTCAAGGAACCGTTGGTTTCGGTTTCAGTTTCGATTCCGGTTCCTTCAAAAATTACAGGGTACTCGGAACTGAACACCCCTAGATGCAATCATGTATGTGATAAAAAGAGAAATGCACTAACATAATCTGGCATTATCTTGGTATTTTAAAAAAAGAAAAAAATTTAATTATTATCTTAATTATTAATCTCATTGATTTTCTTTTTCAAAGCTTAAAACAAGATACAATAACATTATAATATATATTTAAATGCTATTATATATACATTTATTTCAAAATCACTATTTTATATATATATATAGTAGTTTTCTAATAAGGATTGTCGACCAATTTTTTATTAATTTTGTATCCATAACCTAAGTTCGAGATGTTCAAGAATTATCATTGAACCTTTATAAGTAAAATATCATATGAATCTAATAAGTGAATTCAATAATATTGAAACACTATTTTAATATAATTATATTATAACAGAGTTAATTGGAGAATTTCGGTATAGAAAGTTATAACAGTCTTAAAAGAATTAATGTATACAAAGACAACAAACTGTAGTAAGGTTACATTACCCTCGAGATTTCCCAAAAAAAAATCCAAAAATGGAGACAAAATGATCTCCAAATCCAATCATGATTCATCATCATCATCCAATAGCATCGTATAAATACCCCACATTCCCCCACCTTTCAAACCGAGAATTCCTCTCCAGTGTCTACCCCAAACCCCCCCTGCCTCCCCTCTCCGGGCCTCCCCTCTGCCCCCCCTGGCCCCCCCTTATAAACCCTAACCCGAATATTCAACATCAAAATTCATCTTAATTTTCAGTTGAATTTTGTTTTTAAAAATTAAAAAAAAAAAAAATTGAAAAGATATGGCACAAGAAGATTCGCAAGTTGAAACCCTAGATTCAACGTCTGCTGGTGATCAGTCTCAACCGTCGTCTTCGGATCTGTCACGATCAGCGTCGTTTAGTAAGCTTAACGCGCGCGCTCCTGAGTTCGTTCCGGCGCGGTCTCCTACGACGAGTTCGACGACATCGTCGACGGCGTCGCAGTCGCAAGTGCAATTACAGGTACCGTCGCCGCCGAGAGTGATGATGCCTTCGCCGGCGGCGTTTCATAATCATCATCCGCCTCATGTTTATTCTCCGCATCAAGGGACGGCGTTTCATGTGCCGATGCAGAATCACGTGATTCCGGTTCATCATCATCCTCATCATCACCAGATTCAGCATCACGTGCAGGTTCAGAATTATCATAATCATCACCCTCATCATCATCGAAATCACAATCAGAAGCATAAACAGAAGCATAATCACTTTCATCATTATGACGAGGAGAATCAAGAGGTTGAGGTTACAGTGGAGGATCAGAAAGATCAGAAGGATCAGCATCACGGCGGATTATCTGATGAATCAACTCAGAAGATTTTAAATCAGGTTTGATTTTACAGTATAAGATTGAAATCCTTATTATTTAAGTGCTTTTGGCAAGAATTTAAACTATACGCTGAAGGAAATGGAGTATATGAGCTAGTGAGAGCTACAAATTATATGATTATGAACTCTTTTTACCTATTTTGAATATGTTATATCTTAGGATCGAGTATGAGATTGAAAATTGTTCTATTTGAAAGAAATTTTTATTTGTTAGTGCTTTTGAAAGATTTTAGTGTTTAGGTTGATGTAAATTGCGAATATAAGCAACAATTTAATGCTGTTAATATATTTTGAATGAGTTCTTTATTGTGATTATGAGATTGGATATCTTTCTATTTGAAAGAAAACGTTTATTGGTAGAGTGTGAAATGCTCTGTTTAGTAGTGCTTTTAGAAGATTTTAATATTTAGTTTGAAGAAAATTTTGTGTATGAGTGACACTTTAAGTATTAATTATCTTCTGTTGATCTATCTTGAAAAAGTTGGTTCTTGTGATCTAGTGGTTAGTCCTGAAGTTTTTTGTGTGTGTTTAAGTTTTCCCTTGAAGTTTTGTGTGTGTTTAAGTTATCCAAAATTCAACATGAGTTTCAAATTTTAAAGGAGGTCTGTTATTAGATTCTATATTCTCTAGTACTTGTCCAGCACTTCTAAAATTGGGATGCAAGAAACTTTTTAGCTTATCGCAACTATATGTGTCGTATGTCAAGAATTCTATCATAGTTTCTATTGTACCAGATTTTAAAATCGTTGTAGGTCTTTCATGCACAACTGTGTATAGGGCCATTGGTATATGGAGATGTGATAGAGGTTGGGAAAGGTAGAGGCCTTTATTTTGTTACATGTTCAAGGCCTAACATGGAAGAGACCCAAGCATTTATGTTATTTTTGACGCTGACATTCCAGTACACAATAGAGGGATATAAATTTTAGTTGAATTATGTCTGCATTTGCGTTGCTTTGTGGTGTTACTTTCATTACTTTTCCAATTTGGTCTATTTTGGGGATGAAATTGTCATTATAATTATGTTTTTCCAACAAATGATTTTGTAGGTGGAGTATTATTTCAGCGATTTAAACTTGGCCACTACTGATCATCTTATGAGGTTCATTCACAAGGATCCTGAAGGATATGGTAAGATATCTGCTATACTATCTAAATTGTGTACTGCATAGTGCTTCATTCCTTTATGCTCTAAAATCTATTGCATCCACCTAGCAGTATAGATTTTTTTCCTTAATCCAGAGAACTCTTGTATTGTTTTGGGGCAACCTACTCAATGCATGTTAAGCAATGACATGTGGATGATATATGTGTGTGTGTATATATATATTGACCCTCTTTTTCGTACAAATAGATAGTACATCTGTTACCAAGTTCTGTATGGATGTTACATGCATATTTAAATTGTTGCCTAGGATCTTTTTTCCCAGGTTTGGTGTGAGAAAGGAAGAATTAAGTATGTTAAATGTGATATTTATGTTATGAAATTAGGGTCATTTTTGGTTTGCTATAGGTGGTTTTGTCTATTTTACATTTTTTTTGTAGTAAACCATGAATTTTATGGATATCATTGATCTAAATTGAAGATTGATAAAATGAGTTTAATTAGGCCAAATATTAGGGGGGATAAATGAAATTTACCGTATCTGTATTATATTGTGTACTTCATTGACTGATTTTCATGTTGAAAGTTTGTTATCTTTTTTGTGTTTTTTATTAACTGTTCCTTACTGATTTTAATATATTTTCTGCATTGCTATAGTGCCAATATCTGTTGTTGCATCTTTTAAGAAGATTAAAGCCCTCATAAATAGTAATTCCCAGCTTGCCAATGTTTTGCGGAACTCATCAAAGCTGGTGAGTTTTTTCCATGAGCTCTTTTATTATGCTCTTTGTTACCGATAATATTTTATCTCCTGCACCTCCTGTCTCAATCTCTACTGCACCATAAATAACAGGTTGTTAGTGAAGATGGAAAGAAAGTGAAACGCCAAAATCCTCTAACTGAATCAGATGTGGAAGAATTGCAAGTAATTTGTTTTATTTTTTTCTATTTAAATTTTTTTGTCTTCTTTTTTTGGTTGGCATATTGCCATTCTACTTTTTATTGTGTCAGTTCTATTAGGGCCTTGTATGCCTGTTGTTTTGGTCCTGAAAATTGAGCCATCTTAAGAATATGTGAAAAAATTTCATTCTCTCACTATTATGTATATGTTTCGCAAAGAGTGTGAGTTACCTTTAGATTGTTTAGAAAGAATAACATTTTGAAGTCCCCTTGTCTAATAACTGATTTGTTTTCCTTCTTGTTTCTTTGTCGTGATTTGTAGTCTCGTATAGTTGTCGCTGAGAATTTACCTGAGGATCATTGCCACCAAAACCTCATGAAGATTTTCTCTGCTGTTGGGAGGTACTAGATTTTACTTTTGTTTAAAAGATTAATTACTGCATACTCTGGTTCTTCTGTAAGGTGTGTATTTTATTTCTGGATGTTTGACCCTGTATTGTCCTGTACCAGTGTTAATACTATACGTACTTGTTTGCCCCAAACTTCTGGTGGTGGGGCTCCATCAGCATCTAGATTGACAAAAGCGGATGGCATGCTTTTCAGTAACAAGGTATGTATTACACAGTAAAATAGCTTTCTCTTTTGTTTTCCTGTTATATCAACATGATCTTGCATTTGTCATGCTCTGTGTCAGGTTGATGTTTGCTTATGATTTTGGTGCTCTCTTTGGATAAGTATACTTAATAGGAATTGAATAATGACATTGACTGTGACTCTTTAAGGATTGTTTCACTGTTTGTTTTTTTCTGGTGCAGTATGTTGCATATATACCTGGAGATTGGTCCTGTTGTGGTCCATCATTTGTCTGTTGATGAAAAGCTAGAATTGGATTGATTGGAACTTTTAGAACACTGGCTTGAATTAGATTTTATTTTATTTTCACAAGGGTCAAGATATTGGGATTATTATGTCATGGAGGATACACTTGTCTAAATTTACTTATGCAGATTTATCTTTTTGTTTGTGGATTCACAAGTGCAATGAAAGCCCGATGAAACAATATGATGATTCATTGGCTGAACAAGCCTTAAAGTAGCTTCTTGTTGCATCAATACATGATCATCCTAGCATCATCTTTTATTGACATTATCGTGTTGATGATGATTGTTTGGCTTTATTAATCTATTGCACTCTTTAGTTTTACAAATCATCTGTGAATAATTTGGGACTTCCAAACATTGATTAATCTAACTTTTGAACTCCTTGTTTCACATGCAGTTGCATGCATTTGTGGAATATGAATCTGTTGAGCTGGCTGAGAAAGCGGTCAGTACTCTTTACATTTTTGTGATAAGACAGCTTTGTTATTCTTTTTATTTACTTTTTACTTTTTCATTTTCTTGCTTGGACAACTCTAAATTTCTTTTGACTTTTTATTTTCGCAGATTGCAGACCTGAACAATGAGGGAAACTGGAGGAGTGGTCTTAGGGTCCGTTTAATGCATAGACGTGCGGTAAATAACCAAATAGATTGACTTTTTCTTCTTGATCTTCTCATTTTGTGGCTATGATAACTAACACCAAAAAATAATTGAATTAAACCAAATATTGACTTTGACTCTCGATCTTCTCATTTTTACTTTACGATCCCTGTTGTAATTAGTATTAACGGATCATTGAATTAAATCTATATTAATCTACTTTAATGATATATGATACATACACTGGATGAATTGTTTATCATATACATACACTCACCAGATATAATGACTCCAGAAACTCAACTGTTTGGTTCCTCTCGTCATTTTGATCACTTTCTCTCTAACCTTTTTACGTGCACACTTGATCTCTAGATAGATACTATTGATGTCCTTGACTATCATGAAATGCACTTGAGCGGAATTTTTATAAATCAAAGGATTATTTTATTATTATTTTAAAGTTGATTCATGGAATTAGACTAGTAAATCGATTCCATTGACCTATCTGATCTTCTAGATTAGGCTATTGATCTCTCTCTCTCTCTCTCATGCTTAGGCAAAGAATGCTCAAGCTAGAGGGAGAAAAGGGCATGAAGGGGAGTGGCACTATGAGGAAGAAGATACTTCCACATCTGAGCATCATTCGAATGAGAAACAATTGGAAGATCATCCTCAACAACAAAATGATCACCATTCACATGAATATATGGTAAGTGATATTTCTCATCAAAGTAAAATCTCAGAAAATTCTCACGCTTGTGCGACCATACACATTATCTGCGGAATTTCGAACTTTTGAATGAAGGATGCTTTTACTTTCAAGATTTGCATACATTTTATTTTGTGCTACATCATGTTGCTAATTCTCAGTCGACAATCTTGCTTTGGCAGGGAGAGGATCATGTGAACGACAAAGAGGGTGGACACAGAAAAGGACGTAACAAGAGCCGTGGCAAGGGGCGTGGGCGAGGCGACCGTGGTCAATATCATCACAATAACCATAACCGTGGCCATCATGTGGGAACGCCACCATCAAATAATATGAACAATAGCGAGCAGTCAACCATAGGCAAGCAACCTCCAGGGCCTCGAATGCCAGATGGAACAAGAGGATTTGCAATGGGTCGGGGCAAGCCAGTTGCTGTCAGTACCTCATGAATTTTCTTTCTATTGATCACAGCTGCTCTTTTAATTGGCATGAGACAAATGAGAATGTTGTGGCGGGTAACCATGTCTATTCAGGTTGTGTAGATGGCAGGGTTTAAGAAGGGGCTCTCTCCATCGGACCGAAGTCGCATCGGGTTATATATTAGCAGTATGGAAGAAGTACTTTTTTTTCAGAAATCTGTTGTGTAATTTGGTATGGACGGTGCAGAAAAGAATGCTGGTTAAATCTTTTCTTTAGTTTTTTAAATTGATGTAGAAAAACCATGAACAAAAAGAAAAACCTTTGGGGGAGACACAAATACCTATAGATATATGAGTCAAAAATTAAAAAAATTAAAAAAAATGCAAATAATTGTTTTACATCTGTATGTAGTATGTGCTGGTCTAGTAATGTTATGGAGTTACTACCAGCCGTTAGATCTTCGATCAACAACTGGTTGACCACCGGAAGAAAGATCGGATGGTGGTTGTTGACTTGTAGCATATATAAATAAAAATGTGTGTATATATAAAGTGTTTGTAGATACTCTTTTGTATAAACTAATATTCTTATGTTTACAAATATTTCTCGATTTATGATTGGGGTAACTTCATTTTGTACTGCTTAAATAAGAGTGTACAGTATTTCTGGAAAATTTGTGGGATGCGTTTTAAATTTAATATTGCTAGGGGGGTTAAAAAACATTCCAACAAACTTATTTGCTGAATTTTCAATTAAACTAAGGCTCCGTTTGGTTCACATTTTTACGTTTTTGGAAAAAGTTTTTTTGAAAAAAGTTAAAAAAAAGTTGAATTGAGTGGGTATTACAATATAGTATTTATAAATTAATAAAATATCCCCTATGTTTGTTTTTGTACAAAACACCCCTATAATAAAATATTAAAAGTTAACAAAAACACCCCCAACCCACCCATCAAATACGGACAGTTGACCACCGCCGTCGGAGGGTGGTCGGAGTCACCGTATCGCCGCATGACTGGCTGGATCTTGCTGGTCGTGCATCGATATGGCCTTTTTCGGCCAGATCCACCGGCAAAGGTTAGATCTATGGCTAGATTTGGCTATTGACGGCTAGATCTGGCCTCATTTGCTCGTCAGCGATGGCCAAAGATACAGTCGTCGTTGACCATATGTTGGCCTCGTTGACATCTAGTTACGGCCAAAGATCTGGCCATATCCACAGTGGATCTGGCCGGAAAAGGCTAGATCGGTGCACTACCGGCAAGATCCAGCAGGTAGTGTGCCATCCTACCAGATTCCGGCCAACTTTCGGCAGTGGTGGCCGGAATCTGGTATAATGTGGGTTTAGGGGTGTTTTTACAATTTTAAAAAAAAATATTTAGGAATATTTAATTAAATTAACAAATTTAGAAGATTTAAAAAAAGTTGAATAATATTAGATAATATTGTGAGTTTTTTGGTATTTTACTGTTTAACTTTTTTGGAAATATTCTCAAAAACCAACCAAACAGAGCCTAAATATTTTAAATAGTGTTGTCCTAATAACATGAAGGTCGCAGGTTCGAAAGCTTCATTTACTCTTTTTTTTTTTTTTTTTGAACTTTTCTTACTTTCATTGTCAAACCAAATTTAGATTCCATAATTCAAAAAATATCCCCCCATTTATGCAAAAATTAACCACCACCTACCTCCTAATAAATCAAAGATTCAACAAAATAAAAAATCTAATACTAAATTCATTTCAGAACCAATAAAATAATAATAAAAACAGAAATCGCAATCATCCATTCCCCCATCTCTCCATTTCCCCCCTTCAAATCCACACCTCCATTTCCAAAACCAAAACAACACACACCTCTCCAGACTGACAAAACCAAAAAAACACTAAAACAAAACAAAAACAACTCAACATGGCTGACCACCACCACCCCACAACCTCTCTGCCACCATCCAAATCCCTAACCACATGGTCCTCCTCCCTTGCCTCCTCCACCCTCTCCACCTCCTCCTCCACACCTCACCGGTTTTCTCATTTCCCAAAAGGCCCTCACTTAGAGTCACTTCAGAATTTGACAGTGACTCCTCTATTTCTTCCACAAAATCTCCACCAAGGTCTTTGATGGCCTCGCCAAGTTCAGTTTCCTTCCAATAGTAGTAAAGTTGAAATCTGTCAGCCTCAGTTGGCTTTCACTTCCAACACTCTCTATTCACTATGATGTTGAAGAACAGAACGCCCTTGTTAAGTCCTCCTTTGATGTTGGCCCTAGGCTTCACTTTAATGCTGCCCATGATGTCAAGGTTTGATTTTTGTCGTACTTTATTGATAATGGTGTTTTCTGAATGGGTTTGTTTTAGTTTGTGTGAATTGACTCTCATATGGTTGAATTCTGCTCCAAATTGAGCTGGGTTGGACTGGGTTCTTGTGTGTAATGTATTTTGTATCCTTTAAACATGCTATTTCATTTTTAGGCCCAACAAGGGGAAGTGGCATGTGGTTGCAGACCTAGCTGATCCTGGCTATGCATTGCAGTTGTCGTCTCCAGTTCCATATGTTGGTTTGGTGAGTGTAATTCTTGTCATTTAGATTTTAGTTTTCGGTTGTTTTCCTTTTGCAGCAAAGTTAGTTTTAACAGACAACAAGTCATATGGGGAACTAGATGGTCAGGCAGATAGATTTGAGCGTTCAGTTGTTTTTTGCTTTCTACCGAAGATAGTTTCAGCAGACTTTTAGTCATATGGGGAAGTAAAGGGTATAGGTTTTCTAAGTAGAGTAAGATTATATTTTTCTAACTACTGACTGATGATATTTGTGTCAATATTTTACTGCTGATTGACAGGTTATTTTTTTATTTTTATTTTTATTTTTTACTTTATTTATTGACATGATGTTGCAGCCGAGAGCAACCTTCAAATTTCCGATTGGTGAACTTTCGTTGGAGGAAAGAGAGGAGGAAGAAGAGAAGAAAATATTGTCCGTAAGTGCTATTGCTAAGGGTCAGATTTGGAATGGGATCTGCACTGCTCAGTACCAGGAGGAGGAAGTGAAACTAAGATACTCCTATAAGGTAGTGTTGTCTTGCGTTTTGCTTTTTTTTTTTTTTTTTTTTTTTTTTTGGCTTTTTACCTAGTTGGTTTTGCATGGTTATTATGTTGATTCTAGGCTGTCTTCCTTTTGAAATTATAGCCTTCTATGCCAATGTAATTACTAAGGACTTTCTAGATGTGTGCAGAGTTATCATTCTGACTGTCGCTCTTTTTTTAATGGTGCTAATTATTCCTTTTTATTTTTTATTGTAGGATGATGAAATGACATTCATTCCAACCATTTCACTTCCTTCAAATGCAGTATCATTAGCGTTCAAGCGTCAGTTCAGTCCCTGATAAGTTGAGGTTAAATTCTATCTCTCACTTGCTGGCTCCATCTAAACTACAAGCTTTCTTTTTAGTTTATGATTCATCACAATTCACTTATGCAAATGGAAGTTAAACATTGCTTGTTTATGTATTTTGTTCTTTATTGAGAAACCATTTTGTGCTATAATATGAACATTTGCGAGAATTTATTCAGAGGGATTCTTATGGTATGATGTTTGCACATTTCTTTATTTGCCCAACGTTTACAACACAGTCTCTCACAACGGGAAATATCTGCCACTGCAGGCAATTACCATTGATACTCACATCCTAGGCAGTAAAATATTGACAATATGATAAAATGCGTGTAAAAATGATCATTTCTTATATGAGATAAATGAGATTGATTTTATTTTGGATTGAACCTTTTGATAAAATTGACCTGTATGGATCTACTAGTCAAAATGCACATGTTGACTCGTATGGTCGGTATGAATTTATATTTTGGTACATGAGTGATATCCATTAGGAATTTTGCCAGAACTGGTTTATACTGGCTGGTCTGGGATGGTATTGTTACATCAGTTGATATTGCTACTAAAAAAAGTTACTTGTTTTATTTGAAAAAGGAGTAAACTTTAGAATTTTCCAAGTAATCAATGTATCCAATGTCTTGACAATCCTACTTGCAATTTCATAAACGTTCCGTTATGTTGTAAGTTCTTCTACAAGCAAACTAATCCTCTTTGTACTTGAAGATATGTACTGATATCATAAATGTTAAAATACTAAGAAAATGTGCTCAACTCCCCATACTAGAGTCCAGAGATGGCACAGATAATGCATGTGTACCAGAGTCATTATTCTTTTCTTTCTAGAATATTATGACTTGAAATTTATGTTAGAAATGAAAGCTCTCTTAGTTTCTGAAAAGTGAAATGCTGTGATGTGAAGTCCTAACTGAGGTATCGAATGGCTAAATCCTTTACTGTAAAGTGCTTAATGGCTTTCATGCAGCTTGGTTTGTCAATCATGATGTTTTTTGATTGTTCATTGTTTTAATTACAATGCGCTACTGGTACAATTTTGATTCCAACTTCTGGAGTGCGGTGTACAAGCACACCTATGGCAAAGACTTCAAATTCAAAGCTGGTTATGACAGAGGCGCGTCTAGGCTGGCATCTCTCTGGGTATGTTTCTTAACATTTTTACCTCGATAGAAGGTCATGTGAAAACTTCTTTGCTTGAGATTCTTTTTCATGAAAATGCTATCATGATGACTTCATGACTCCTTGTTCAAATCTCAGGTCGGAGACGAAGTGGGCAAGGCAAAGACAGCGCCAATGAAGATGAAAGTCCAGTTTATGCTCCAAGTGCCACAAGATGACATCAAATCATCGGCATTAATGTTCCGTGTTAAAAAGAGGTGGGATATATAGAGACAATATTAGTGGGACAACTACCTTTTCCTCCATATCTAAAATGTGGCTCCTATATGGTAATGGGACATGTCCCATTGTAAGTAATGATGCTTTATTGCTACATATGACATCAATTGTTGTTTCCATCTTCAAATATTCTTTTCCAACTAGAAATCAGGTGATTACCATCTGGTATGTTGCCAAAACTACAATGCTTTAAGTACCTCCGATTGACAGGAAGTAACAAACCCAATTCATATTTTTGTATTCACAGCAGAAGCCTATGCTTTGCTGTAAAATCTTTGACACATTTTGACATTTTTGGTGCAATCTTTTGTCTAGCAATACTTGTTATGTGCTTTCGAGGGTAAAACTTATGCAGGACGGATGCACATATAACCGGAAATGGAGGAGTTCATGTATGTCACTCATGCTACATATCACACTACATTGGGTAACGTTTTCGCTTTCGAAAGTTCTCATTTCAATGCAGGTTACCAAATTCTCTGGAACCTGTCTTTTCTTGGACTATGTAGTGAGAATTGGAGGCCAATTTGCTCCACCATTTCTTTGAGGAAATACACAATAATGCTTATCCAAAATGTATGATGCACATAAAGAGGGAGCGTTAATAAAATTGAGTTGCTCATCTTCCTTTTGATATATGTCTCATTGCACGAAAATTATATCAAATTAAAATGGAGCATGTATTAAGTGAAGGGTCAAAGCGCCTTATCACTCGTCTTGTATAATAATTAATATATAATATTAT